ATTCAGAATCAACATCCTGATTTTGTTCATTCAGTGAAAAAAGTCTTCACACAACATTCAAGCTCAGCTCATACAACCAGAAATCTCTGTTTAGTAATTTAATCCGTACTTACATCTTGGCAGATTGTTTCACCTGAAAACGGAATCTTTGCATCCTGGTCCAAAGCAGCTATTTATTCACTTTCTGGTGATGAAATGAAATGTTGCCACTCCCTGAATCAATAACACAAACCACACAATCATCATTCAGATATTTGTAGATGAGCTCAAAGAAGAGCTGGTTTGATCTATAATCTGTGCCAGGCGGCAGTGTAGTTCCAGGGGAAAAAAACATTCAACACATTCAAAAAAAACCTTTTACATTTTGTTCTCACTTTGAGAAAATGTAAAAGTTGTTTGTTGTTCAAGTCAAATAGCCTCAGGAAACATCCAGGAGGGTGAACTGTCTGAGTCATCTCAGGTTTGACTTTCTATTATAAGCAATTTCTGCTGCACATAAATTATAATATTACCACTAACCACTGCATATAATCTCAAAATGAAAGAACTGGTTTATAAAACTAAAGCTCCACAAACCACTTCATTATCAGGGTTTTGTGAACCATCATCAGTAATTTAACAGTACAACTAAGTGTGTTGGAGCTGCTGTTGTGTATTTACTTTCCTCTTTGTTGCAGCTTTCCCAATGCCCACAGGCTGTAAGCTAAGCTAAGGCAAACATCCTGGACTGGGTTGCTCAAGCCTTGGGACACTTCAAACTGTATTTTATCTTGTTACTGAGTTTATTAAGAAAACAATTGAAGGGTGTTCAGACCTTCACCAAGGCTAATGCCGCTAATCTCGCTGTGCCAAACAAAGTTAAAAATCATTCCTATATCAGCGCAGTCATTCCCCTCCACAAAATATTCTGGATATTGGTTCATTACTGATAGACAGACTCATAACCTCCTTTGATATTGATAGTTGTTTAATTCTTGTAGTTTTCATTATTATATTGTTCTAATTTATTTGTCATATCAGCATGATATTGTGTGTCATTATTTAAGGAGGAACTGACATGTTCACTGCCATCCAGCGAGGAACTGATGCACTAAATAAAAATATGTGTCACCTATTACATAATATATATAATCAAATATAGTCATTGATACTATCAAATCATTATTAATAATAAAAATTACGTTTTATAAATGTATTTTTACCAGCAGTTAAACCACTAGAGGAATCATACACTGTATATCCACACCAGCCATGTTATAATACTACAGTCTATATTATTCATGTAATACATCAAAAGAGAATGCAGAAATTCATTGTTTAGAGAGTTTTTTTCTTTTTTTCTATTTACACAATTTATATTAAAGAATGTTGTGATGTCACAGTAAAGTTGACCTTTAACCTTTTAGATACAAATTATTATCACTTCATCATTTTATGTAACTGGAGAAATTAAGTCGGAATTATTTTCTCCTAAAATCTCACCTACAATTTTTCTCGGCAAGTCAGAACTTGATTATTTGAGGATTGACAGGCTGAGTATTTACAGGAATATTTCCCTCACTTCACTATATCTTATAAATATGATGCATTTCATATTAAAAAAACGTATATTATAAAAACATTAATTTATAAAAAAGAAAATCATATTTGAATGAAGATAAACAATGATAAAAACATGACCCCCTAATGCATATTACTGAATACCCTGAAGTGCTGGCCTGTATGTTCATGGTGTAATAGTGTCATCTGGTGGAATTGTTAAAAAGTGCTATTCCTAAACCAGCTGACTTAGACATATTTAAAATTGGTCAACACATTTGCATGAACCAAGAAAAAACACAAGAAATCTGTTAGGGAGGGTATCTTTATTGAATCCAACAGAAAACCCTCATCACGTGGTGGATTTAATTTTTGTATTTTATTTTCCAAGTCCAAGCTGTTATCACAAGTTTAATTATGTGACACAATATGACTTGAAGTTGGAGTGAAGGTCCAGCTGGTTAGTCCTGGCTGGGACACGCTGGCTCCCCCTCAACAACAAACATCACCTCATTGTGCCTCTTCCCCATCGTCATTGGACTGCAAACACACACAAACACACACACACACACAGATTTCCTTTGTGCTGTTGTCATTACTCTTTTTGACAATCATCCAGAAAATAATGCTCGTCTGTTTACCTGTTGTATCCTGCAGCATAGCGGGTGTCTTTTCTGTATTTGGCACCAATGGCGTCCAGTTGAGTGGACAGTTGCTTAAAGGCATTGTTGATGGAAGAGGTCGTCATCCATCCACCGTAGCTCAGAACATACACCGTCATGTCTGGTGTGTCATGGATGTACACCTGCAAGGCAACTCTCATTATCTACCAGGGCTTATTGACTCATAATCAAGTCAGGCTTCATTCTTTTCTGTTTTCCTGTCTTCTGTGTGCTACAGAGGCTTACCCTGTCATTCGTTGGGTTGGGGGTGCTTTGCTGATATTTATCTGGCAGCAAGAAACTCATTGTGAAGACACCCATTTCCCAGAAATTCTTTTGAGGCATACTGACAAGAACTGGAGAGGTCATGTCAATTTCCACTCCTAAAGGTAGACAACAAAACACATTTTTAGACCGATACAAGTTATGGGGTGGTCGGTAGTGTAGTGGGTTGTGCCGCCACCCCATGTATAGAGGCTACAGTCTTCGCTGCAGTGGGCCTCGGTTGGAATCCCGCATTAGATGGCCCTTTACTGCATGCCACTCCCCCTCTTTCTGCCCCCTGCTTCCTGTCTCTCTTCAACTATCCTGTCCATTAAAGGCAACAAAAAAAAAATGTCACAAGTTATATATCAATGATTAAATGCACGCAGGAGGCATGAGAAAATAAATAAACATATGTGTTGATGTTCTGACTTCAATATTTAACAGTATCTTCTCTCCGATGAAGGTTAAGCACAGAAATTAATACATTGTGTCACAGCAGAGTGGAAGTTGTAGTACGACAAGCTCCAGCAGAGGTCAGGAAAAATCAGAATTCGATTTTACTCCTTTATCATTGTTAATTTTTTTGACACTTTGCTACAGTTTGGATATTAATAAGCTATGTAGAACTAATTATGTACATGAAAAATCTTAAACATATATTTTCTCAATACAAACAACATAGAGAATGGTAGATTAATGTTTACCGGATCATATGTAATAAATTCTAATAATGAGTTGGGTGGTGTAAATAATACACACACATACAAACCTTGGTCGTTAGAACTTCTGATGTAGTTAAATAGTCGTCTGAATGTGCTCATTGCTGCAAATTCCATTAAGACGGATGACTGATTAGTTGAAACCCATTTCACAGAGCTGTAGTGACGGACCTGAGGGACATGAGAAAACATGGAGCAGAGGGTTTTTATTTATTTTTTTACTTTCTGGCACCTGAAATATGAAAAGGTTTCTCTCTTGCTCAGAGCCACTCACCTCCAAATCATTAATCTGACAAATAGGATCAAACAGCAGACACTCGTCCGTCTCAGTGCAGAATTGTAACTCAGAGGAGTCTCTGTAAGAAAATAGAAGGGCAATAATTGAACTAACTAACTAAATCTTAAATCTTAACTATTTGAACTAAATCCAGGTTTCTTACCCAACTCTGGCCTCAGCTGTCAGCACCAGCAGCAGACCAACAAGCCCTGAAAGAAGCATCCTGGGACACACACAGCATTTTCGTTCAGACTTACAAGACTGATTTTGTTCTTTCAGAGAAAAAGGGATGGTTACACAACATTGTAGCTCAGCTCATACAACCAGAAGTATGTATTGATTTCCATCCAAGACAAAGTAGAAATTGAAACTGTACTTACATTGTGGCAGAGTTTTGAGTTCTGGACATCCAAAAACAGATTTGTTGCTGCCTTGTCAAAAGCAGCTATTTATTCACTTTCAGGTTATGAAAGAAAATCTGACCACTCCCTGTGGATAGTAAAGACCAATGAGGAACCAAAGCAGAAACAAGATCATCTGGGAAGAATGAAGAGAGCTTAAAAACCGACCTCTGAAATCACTGTCCTTTTGGAAAACTGTTTGATAACAGTAAACTAGGAGGATTATATATTTTCCTTTTGGATTTCCAACTTAATTTGAGATGTCAAGAATAAAGTGGCACAATTTATTGAGATATATGTTGAATTGTTGAGAATATACTTGGAATTTGAACAAAATAAAAGTTAAACCATTAAGAATATTTCAAACTACCAATGTTAATACTTGTGACTTTCAACAAAATTGACAATTTAAATAACAACAAAAATCTCTCTTCCTCAGATTTAGTTTGACTTTATTATCAACATTTCAACCATCTTCTCGAAAAGTAAAAAAACTCCTCATTCCTCCTCAAATTTTTTTCTAATGCCTGACCCTTGTACTCCTCAGTTGTAAACCTTAAACATGACTGATTTTATACATGTTGCTCTCTGTTCCAGTCTGTAATTAATGTCCCCTGTCAGCAATACTCTGATACCAGTGTATCAGTCAAAATAATCAAAATGTCACCTTTTTTTTTCTACTTGCGAGTATAACATATTCTTAAAATTACCTGTTTTCTGTTCAAAATTAGGATAAGAAAAGAATCAAAGTAGTAGTTTTAAACAGTAAATGAACGAATAAACAATCCACACACAGAATAGCTTATTTAACAGGACAGCCACATCAGGAGGTACAAAACGTGACAGAAGGTTATATCAGGCTTGTTTTGTTAACTCTTGAAATCTGACACATCTAGTTCTCATGAGATTTATATTTTACATATTGTCCCAACAGGTCATATGATATGCTGTGTTTATTTCTTTGTACATTTAAAAGACTGTGTTCCTCTGTGTGTTCCCAGAACATGTATTCAGCTACAAGACAAAAGGACCAGTATGAACAATAGACAAGAGGGTTAACTATAGAATAAAGGATATGGATAAAGGAGGTGATAGGCAGTAAGAAGTAGTAGTAGTGGACAACAACATACTATAAAAACTAACATTAACAACATTTTCTCCAGAGACAGTAAGTTACTTTACCTTAAATATTTGATGTGCTGCTTAAAGTAGGTTAAATGGTTGTTTTAACTGCTGTGTATGAACAAGTCTGAGGTCTCAATTTAAATTTAAATCCACGCAAACTTAATCCTTTCATTAAAATCAAGATAATAATGATCACGCCTCAAGGTTTGCAGACCTCAGCACGTTTACACATGAAACCCTCCTTCGGTCCACCTCCTTCTCATGTGTTACAAAACACAAACATGGCCACAATACAAGTGAACGAAAACTGAATTTGTATAATGTTTATATGTATTTAAGTAAACTTGAATTAACAGCTGTCAGATATGAATATAAACATTTATTGTAGTAGGGGGTATTATGCAGAGTATTCTTTTTACATTTATGGCAATTTTCTGGATTTTTTGAATTTTTTGGGAGATTTGAGGTGGGCCTGCCCAAGTAGTTTTTTAAATAGACCTTTTCTGGAGTCTTAAGGTTGTGTCAAACGACAGAGTCATTTTTGTTCAATTGAGTGAAACTCAGCAGGTAACCTGAGCTGGGATGAGGGGCACATTGTTCCAGGCTTTGTCTGAGGGGAGGCCCACTGGCTTTTCAAACTCCTGATTCAAACCAAATGTGTGTTTACCCTCCCGTGTTCACAGTGAGAAAGTGCAACATGTTAAACTGGTTAATCTGAAGTTATTCATAGAGCATGCTGCTAGAAATATTTGAAAATTGGCACATTTATGTATATTAACTTATGGTATACATTGTATATTCATTACAAGTTGACTTGAAGGCAACTGGACTTGAACTTAAAGACCTTTTCCCACTCATCCAATTAAGGCTTCTTTACTTCTGACTGCCTGCTGGAGAGTCCCAGGTTTTTAACCCCGATTGATTCCATTTGGTTTGTTAATGCTCCTGACTGCTGGATTAGTGATTAGAATATTTGGCATCATCAGAAGCCAACAAGGTTTTTTGCAGTGTAATCAGGCTAAGAGTGAATGGTTGTTCAATGTCCTGGGAAGGGATGATTATTGGGATGAAGGGATTAATCAGGTCCACATATTTTTTTATATTTTGAAAATAAACTTATACCGACAATAAATATATTTAGGGTGATATGACCATTAATACTAACTTTTACATACCTGTAAAATTATTCAGAGACCATTTCAGACCAGACGGTACTATCAGGACTAGGATAAAGCACACCTGTGAAACTGTCTTGAACAGAGTCTTAAAAGAGTGAGAGTTGTTCTTGCTGTAGTTTGAAGGCTGTTGTGACTTAAAGAACTACAACTCCCATATATTGAGTCAGTCCCTGTGACCCATTTAGGTAATCCCTGGATTAATGTAGGCAGTGTGACCTGGTCTTGTCCTGTTCTCTCTGAAAGCTGCAGGAACGTCGGTAGCATGATGTTTTTATATCAATAACGGAGATTATTCGGGGTTGTGGAGGAGGCTGCTCGCTCTTCAGGTTGGTAGATGACACCACTACAGACTCTGTACGTGATCTTAAAGGGAAAACTCACTCATTGTCTACTCACCACTATGCCGATGAAGGGGCCGGTGAAGGGTTTGGGTCCACAAAATATTTTAGGACTTTCAGGGGTAAACAGTGTTGCAGCCAAATCCAATACATTTGAAGTAAATGGTGACCATGTCTTCAAATGCAAAAACCAACAGAAGAAACATAACATGCCTCCATACTGCTCCTGTGGTGTCATCCAAGCGTCCGTAAGCCCTGGCATTCAAATTCAACTTTAAATCAGCATCAGCATAGAGGTGAGTATAATAAGTGAATTTTCATATTTCGCCGAACTATCCCTTTAACTCCACCTGCCAGAATTCAAACTACAAGTGTCCGCAGCACTCCGGGTTTACAGTGAGCCTGTGGTGTCATTGCAATTTATTTCATTTCACTTTTTATTTGTACAAAGCAAAACATACATTATCTCAATGCACTTTACATATAAGGTCGATACCCTAAAAAAAATTATAGGGAAACTCAAACGGTTCGAATGAAGCAAGAAAAAAACTGAAACAGAGTTGATGTGGGCAACCGTCTGCTTCGACCAGTTAGGTTGAGCAGAGAAAAATGGGGAAGAAAGGAAAGGTGGGTTGAAAAGAGAGAAGAAAGGGCGAGAGAGAGAGAGTGAGAGAGAGATTTGGTTCTTCTTGGTTTTTCTTTAATATGTCCTCCATTTGTATTTTACTAATTGTTACTCCACTGTGTTTTACAGCTGCAGTTTGCTGTCAGGGCTTGTGTGGACCAAGGACTCCTGAGGTTGTTCCAGACGGCTCAACATTTCAGTAAATCAGATGAAAGCAAGTATAATCTCTGAACAAACACCAAACTTGGCTCAAACTTCCAGTGACTTAATTTATTGAATTCTTATTTAAATTAACTTTGTAGAGCAAAAACTCCACCAAGAGCTCTTTCATAGTTTAGATAAGTTAGATTAATGCCTTGAGTGGGGGTTAAAGGTCCAGTGTGTAAGATTTAGGTGAATGGGATCTATCGGCACAAAATGAATATAAAATAATCCTCATGATGTTTTCACTAGTGTGTTTCACCAAAATTGTATAAATTGTTGTTTTCTTTACCCTAGAATGGGCCCTTTATATTTAAATACTTTATATTTACATTGAGGGGGTCCTCTCTATGGAGGCTGCCATGTTTTTAACAGTTGTTCAAACAGCACAAATTAAACACCTTTTGAGTTTTTATGACAACTGAAGGTTTACACAGGTTCTCTGTTTACACACTGCACCTTTAAGTTTTCCTGTTTATGTAAAAGAAACGGCCAAATGTGACATTAACACTGACTTTTAGATATTTGCAGTCCAAGCACAATGGAGCCACAACACAAATAACTACCATAACACTTTAAGAGGGTGTTCAGAGGACTCATCGTTTTGGGCCAGCATTCAGTGATCATACTGGGAGAAATGAAAATGATTAAGAAACTATAATGACTCTCAATAAAGAACAAACCACATTTAGATGCACTAGATCCAGATTTCTCTTTAAATCTGCACCAAATTGCAAACAATCATAAATATCAGTCCCCTAACAAATGCCTGATTTCATTTCAATAAGAATCAGTTTTTTCCACCTACTCCTGCAAGCAAACAAGTTAACAAACACAGATGAAAACACAACCTCCTTGGCTGAGCTAATAAAAGAAAAGCAGTGATACCAGTTGCTCCACTTACAATAATGTTGTTTGGACCATAATCCAATGCAGCATATTTTTATTATGTTTTTGCATTCCTATCAAGAAATGCTTGGACTTGCTTAATTCATAGACACTCTCATCAAAAGTTAATGTTCTTCTATAACTTATTGATAAAATGTTTAAATAGCATTTAAGGCAGCGAAAGAAACTGAACCACTGAACCTCATGTACATGTGACACCTTTAATGAAAATGACATCATCCTTGCACAGAATTGTGAATGGCAATGACATCATGTTGTGGAGGAATTTTCCTTGAATGACATTTCCCTGTTCACAGCATTTTTTGACTGAACAATCAGGATCCTGCTAAGCCTTGAGGTCAGAGGTCAAAGAGCAATGGGGACAAGGAGGGTGCTAGTGACTGGATGCTCCTCTGGCATTGGCTTGGCTGTGGCTGCACGGCTGGCTAAAGATGAGCTGAGACGGTTTAAAGGTCAGCCACTCCGTCTCTTCAACAAAATAAATGTCATACAGGAGATGATATAGCTACCGATAGCCCGTGTGTTCATCGTTTATCTGTGGCAGTGGTTGCCACAATGAGGGATCTCGGAAAACGGGGGCCCTTGGAAAAAGCAGCAGGAGCTTCCTTGAATAAAACTCTGGAAATCAAACAGCTGGATGCCTGTTGTGAAGCCTCCATCAGAGAGTGTGTCAACAGCCTGCCGGATAGAAGGGTGGACATTCTTGGTCTGTCCCATCTCATATATGCAATTTAAACTCTTTAAAGAAGCATACAGTATAATAATGTGAGATGTCATGCCTTTATAGTGAATAATGCAGGGGTTGGCATGATTGGGCCACTGGAGTGCCAAAGTATTGCTGCCATGAAGGAGCTCTTCGACACAAACTTCTTCGGGCTGGCACGGCTTGTGAAAGAGGTGCTGCCCGACATGAAGCGACGGCAAAGCGGCCATATTGTTGTGATGAGCAGCGTCATGGGAATACAGGGTGCGTTTCTTTTAGTGTCTGTCAAATTACACAAGACGAAAACAAGACAGTTGATAAAAGATTTCTTTATTTCTGTTTCTACACAGGGCTTCTATTCAATGACGTCTATTCTGCTTCTAAATTTGCTGTGGAAGGATTTTGTGAAAGTCTGGCAGTGCAGGCAATGAAGTTTAACATCAAGTAATTACATGTCCTCATGTTTAATGCACGCACTCATCCAAACTTTAAGTTATCAGGAAGATGAAAATCTGAAAAGCAGTGGTAAAATATGCATATTTTGAAATGTCTCTGTCACAAGGACCACTCTTGTGGAACCCGGCCCTGTGGTGACGGAGTTTGAAACGAAAGTGTACAAAGATGCTGAGAAGATGGATCTGTCAGGGACAGACGAGGAGACGGCCAAAATCTTCCATGAAGTTTACCTGCCATACTCAAAAAAGGTCTTTGCCTCATTAGGTCAGACACCGGCAGAAGTGGCCGAGGCAAGTGATGTAATGGGATGTGATTGTTTTTCTATTTGACTTTTAAAAGTCACGAAAACAAGTTTTGCAAGTGAAAATGCATCAAATATTTTTATTTTTATCCTGCAGCAAACAGTTAAAGTGATCACGGCCAAGGAACCTCCTCTGCGCCACCAGACCAACCGCCTGTACATGCCCATGACTGCACTGAAACATGCAGATCCAACCGGTCGCCTGCCTCTGGACACCTTTCATAAGATGATCTTTAAACATGACCGTGTGCTCAATGCTACCCTCACTTTGCTTCGAATGCTGCAGCAAAGAAGAGGAGAGAAATAAAGACTTAGTTGTTGGGTCGCAAACACTATAGATGTTATTCTGAAGGAAACAGTGACTGACTGTACTTTTTGTCTCTATTCTTTGAGAATGACGTCCAGTTGTGAGGTGACAGAGGTTTGAATGAACATGGATTGGGGCTGGAGGATGTTTCTGTTATCTGTGTGGGATGATAACTACAGTGATAATAAAAAATAAAAATGTCTCTTGTACTGTGAATATGTACATGAAGCATTTCTCGCTGAGTAATATTTTGAAGCTTTTAAACTTTCTGCACACTAGTAAATATGAATAAATGTGTAATAACAGAAAAGCAAAGTACATGCACTCTTTGATTTTCTACTCACATAAATTTAAAAGAAGATTTGTTATAATGTTCTCTAAGTTCTATCTGTTCCAAAGAGAAAGTGAAAAAGACATCCTGGATCTGCCCTCTGATCCAGATCCACACCGAAACGTCATGTCTTTTTCCTTGGGTCATGCCACACATGATCAAAGAGTTATTGGTTCATTATTTTTATTACATTTTGGGTCTTATCTTGATTGCAATTTCTTTCAATGAGTACTCATATCCTTTCCAAGATACCCAATTGATTCCTATCCCATAGGCTGAGCTGCCCCACAAGTAAAGACCATTGGCATTAACGCTGTGACATTCTCCATACCACCATCCTCCGAGGTAGGTCTTGGCACAGTTTGAAGCATGAGTGTCCTGGTCTTTGTCAAATGTGGAAAACTTCTGACCACTATGTTCACTCAGGGAATTTCCTGAAAACAATAAGTATATAAAGAAAAATGACACAGTGTACTAAGCCTCGGTCTAGTGACACAGAAGCAGTGGCTGTCGTTCCACTCACCAGCTCCTCCATCTTTGAAGCCACTACAGGTGAGTGTGTAGCCCTCCTGCTCTGGACCCACCATAAAGGAGGAATAGTGGACGTAAGCCTTTGCCCCTTCAAAGTCTTCCATGTCTATCCTCATCTCATAGCTCTTCCTTAGAGTTAGGAGATGGATGTTCTCCAGACCTGGAAGATGCAATAGCATATAAGGAGCATAATTTGTATTCATTTGTTTAAGCAATAGTAGAAATTATACTAAAGTCTTATTCATCAGCTTAACACTCACCCAGCCAGTATTCTCCAGATGCTAGTCCAAATCCAGTTTTATACTGGTCCCATCCACGATAAAAGTTAATGGTGCCATCCTTTCTTCTCTGGAGGATCTGGATCGGAATCTTTTTGTCATTTATGGCTATATTTTTTCACTTTAAGTACAGCCTGCTACACTGTTGGCTGAATGTTTTGGTAACTTGGCTAATCTCACTTTAAATGTTTTATGAATCACAAAACAACACATTTTTTTTATATAGATATCAAAAAATTAAACATTTTAAGGCTCTGATACATAACACCAAGTGCTATGAGATAATCCTGCAGTGCAAAAAAGGTTTAAATAAACTAAGTTGTTGCATCAAAAATATTTGCTGAACAGCACTTAAATTATAAATAACAAGCCCACATACTGTCCATTTACCAACATCAGGTTCGTCCTCACAGCCCATGTCACAGTAGACCTGGATAGGGGAGAGCGGTCCTCCTGGGAAGATGCTGTACACCCCACTATGACCAAAGCCTCTGTTGTACACGTCATTGCAGTCAACTGGAAGAAACACTGGTGAGCAGATCGCAGCTGGGATCAGAAGAAGTAAAATAATAAAACCCTGAAATCAAAACACAAAAGCTGCTCTGAGCACCAGTGAAACAATGTTATACACTCTTAATGTGTTCATATAAATACAGTCAGTGTCACACAGAACTCACCATTATTGCCCTAATGCAGTACTTTTGCGGTAATCCTGAATCTTCTGGCTGTTTACATTGAGTAAATAGTCAAGAGGCCCGTCTCTGTGCAAATGCCCAAACACATTGAGGCTTTTAGGTTATTGTGCAATGTCAGCTGCTGGTCACGCTAAAAATAAGATGAGAGTCTGTGCTTATTCAGAGAGAGGCGTGTGAGTAGGTTATTTTTAACCCTCCCTCTCTGTCTTCATTTTGAATTGATAATATAGAAAACAGGTTAATTAAATGAACATGAAACTAATATTAACATTGTGAGGATTATCATTTTTATCAGTCAGATCGGAGAGGTGTCTGATTATTGTAAATGTTTAGGCTGTAGCTTAAATTTGAAAGTGAAACAACAACTTAGAATATAATGCAGTCATCAACATAATATTCAATTCCAAAATGGGTTATTAACCCCTGAATCACCTATATATTATTTCTTGTGAGGGTTAGGGCTGTTGTGTTGGAGTGTACAAGAAACATTTCAGCCAAGACTGTCAATCAGTAGATTGTTTACCTCAACCGAACATGTCCCAACACTTCCTTATGAAACCACATTTAAATGAACTAGATCCAGATTTTATATTTGGCTCTACACTAAATTTCACACACTCAGAATCAGTCCTTTAAACTGGCCTGTTTTATTCAATAGGATCCATGAATTATTTAATGGAAATGAAGTTGAGCAGCTTTGGCGTGATCGTGTGAACTAGCAAACAAACGAAAATGATTAATAATTAATAATTTCCTTCGCGGAGGTAAAAACAAAACTGCTAAATCATCTTAAACAAATCTCATAGTTATGAAACAATCACTGAACACGAAGACACAAAAATGTAGTTTCCTACAGTTTTTATTATAAGTAACTTATTTTACAACTTTTGACTGTAGAAAGGAAAAACTGTGGAAAAATGTATGTACAATGATTTTGAACTACTTTTAAACAAGTATTGAAATTAATAATGATAGAAAATATCTATGACTGTTCTAATAACACAAGACCAATAAAATATCAGTCACAGCCTCAGCTTAAAATAATGCTAAATGAAGTACACTTTATTTTTGTCCTTTTTAGTACATAACAATCATTTTTAGAAACATAAGACTTCTCAAGCAAAGATCTACCCAGAGCAAACATATTTACAAACACAAGTTGGGAGGTTGAAATGTTCAAAACACTTAGTGCGACCTGGTAGGGAAATCAAAAAGACCAGATATATATATATATAAAAAAATAAAAAACAGTTTTCCTGGTGAGTAAAATTTGAATCGGACTGTGAAAAACAACACGTTTCCAAGGTCTGTCAGAACAGTGGCAAAGCCCATGGTAAATAGGATCAAACAATTCATGACATTTTATCAAGCTTATGACACAACAAGGAGCTGTATTAGATCACCACAAAAGTAGAAGCTCAGAGTGGCTGCCTGGTGGCTTCTGTTCATGGTGTTACAGGATAAAATGTAAAGGTTATATTATCAAAATTCTATTATGATCCATTGACTGAATTTTCATAAGTCCTTTGTATGTAAAGCACAGGATGACCTCTAGGATAAGGAGTTGGTCAAACATTACACAAGGTGTTAGTTGGATGACTGGGAGTGTCCTCAGAATTTTGTAAAAAAGTTAAAGGGTGCAGCACTACATAGTAGTGTTTTTAACTTCAGCCTCTTCTAACAATCATCTTAAGATGCAACCCCACACCCTGGACTGGAAGCTACTGTAGATGCAGGGGAACTGTCCCACTGCATGCCATAAAACACCTCCCTGAGGAGTGACAGGGCACCAGCAGTCACAGCCCAGCAGCCACACCCTCACACTGACAGATGGTCAAGGAATGTTTCCATCGAGTCTAACGGAGGACGCAACGTGACCTCGGATAATTTAACTTCCACCTGTGTGTGTGTCATCTGGTTGTGTTCTGCGTTTGGCGCTGCTGAAATCCACGGTGTCCAGACTCAACAAGACAGGCAAAATGTAGGAATGTTTGCAGGGATAAGTGATATAAAATAGCAGCTGATAAGCATAGCTTTGTACATCTGAAGTGATGTATTAAAACAGGTATCCATGGTTTCCACAAATATACAGAGTATAAAACGATTTGAAAAACAAACAAAAGAAATTAATAGATAAACTAAAAAGGGCAGTGAGAGGCTGATTTTAGGCAGTATCTTCAAGTGAATGAAATGAAGCTTAAAAACTGAAGGTAGGAGTCCTATAAAGTGGGGATGCCATGGTGTGGCCACTGGGTAACAATCTTGTGACAGCAAGTGGCTCAGTATCCGCAGTGTACTCGCTGAGATCTGTAACGTTGGATTTCACTGCTTTCATTGCATTTCACTGCACCACTGTCAATATGTAAAACACATTGACCCGTCTGCTGGTGGGCATCCATAACGTTTTGTTGGTCAACCCTCCTCCAAGACTGTGATGTGACTCTGCTGCTGCACGGAGCAGAAAGTTCAGTTTTTAACTGCAGCGTCAGACTATCTATTAGTAACTAGTATTTTACAAATTAGAGATTTTTTATTTGATGAATTTGGACACTACCACCGATAAAAAAAAAAAAGTTTTATGCCGATTAAAAAAATTAAACAGATGATGGGGCCGCTGGGCAAGTTATGTAATTGGTAGGTGCCTAAACACCAGTTACACTGACTACTGTGGCAACCCAACGATAAAGTCAGTGAGAAGCTACAGTTGAAATGGGAGCATTAAACCTGCAATTTTATTCTGCTCCTTTATTTTGAGAGTGAAGTAAAAATGACCATAAATTAAAAGCTGCCCATGCATTATAAATATCCATTGTAGTTAAATGTTGTATTTTACCCACACGTGCCCTACGAAGCTGTTCACTTGAAGTGCTTCAGAAACACTCATCTACATTCTTATTCATAATACTCATATGAAAATAATCACAAATCAATCAAATCAGAACACATCACTACTGCTGAGCATCTCTCAATATATATTTGCAAGTACCAGTTCATCATCTTTACCAGCTGTTGTTGGCCTGAATAAATATAAGTCAAGAGGTGAACATTCCTCTCTCTGTCTGTTAACTGGTCTAAATAATGAACCTGCCACACTGGCTAAATAGAAATGTAGGCAGTCTTTATATAACATGGGTGGGCGGCACGGGACAGAAAGAGGGTGATAAAAACCTAAAGAAAATAATCTGTTCAGAGAGATAAAAACAATAAATAAAAATAAAAGAATTCCCTTCAACATTTAACTTTTTTTCTCTTATCTACTTTTTTTAAATGTTTGTTAGTTTTCAGGAGAGCATCCCTAAGTCTTTGAAATGAAAGACTTGGTTTTCTTCATATACTTTTTTTTTATAATAAAAAACAAGTCCATCTGTGACAGAATTACTTCATTAAATTGTCTGCTGTTTTTTTCAGACAACACACATTTCCCTTTACTTTTTTTCTCTGCAAAAATCACTAGCAGACGGTCCTCATGATACACAGTCAATCCAAATCCAATGAAAATCTTGGAAACAGGCTGACACATAAAAACAAAGACAGGCCCAAGAGCCAGTCGTCAAATTCTTTTCAATCAGAGGCAACTGGACCTTCATGCAAACACCTGCATCTTGCCATTGGCCTCTGGGATTTGAGTAATTTGGGTCTGGGCAGGGCCAGCAACTGCTGGACTGGGTGTGGAATCTGACCAATCGGAGACACAGTGAGGAGAGGGGCTGGACCAGGGCTCAGGAGATTCTGGAGAGGGGGTCAGATATGGATGCTCACTGGGCAAACGGAGGTAATGCTTGGGCGTGGCATCGAGCGTGGAGGAATAGCTGTGCTGAGAGGGAGGGGTTGGGTAATCCTCCGTTCCTGCAGTGCTGCTACTAGGTTGGGGGGGCAGAGCCTGAGTGGGCTGGGCTGCAGGCGTGGCTGCCTTTGAGGGCTGAGCAGGAGGCTGGGGCTGAGAAGATTGCTGAGGCATCTGCTGCTGTTGAAAGAAAGATGGGGGAGGCTGGGAGGTCTGAGGTGTTGGTGGGGTGGAGGTGCCCATGCGGTGCTGGTTGGTGATCGTGTGGTTGATGAGCTGCTGCTGCTGCTGCTGCTGCTGCTGTTGTTGCTGCTGCTGCTGCTCGGCAATGGAGGGCAGCTTGACTGGGCTGATAGTGGGTGTGGAGGTAACAGGCGTGGGCTGCAGCATTGCATTACGGAATATCTGCTGTTGGTGCATCAGCATATTCTGCTGCTGCATGGCTGGGCTCTGGGGGTGCATGCCTCCCTGGCTACTCTGCACAAGATTCACCACCTGCTGACCACACTGGGACGAGGGGTTCATCCGGCTGTGCCAGTCAAAGGGCACACTGACAGGACTGACCATGCCCATGTTGAGCCCCATCTGGCCTGAACTCAGCACATAGCCATGATTGACATCAGAGGCCATGGCGATGCGTCCCTGCAAGGACATTCCTCCAGCTCCCAGGTCATTGAGCTGTGCTAGAGACACAGCAAAAGGGCCACCTCCCTCCAACATGCTACTATGTACCATTGGAGTGTTTGGAACTGACATGGATGAGTGGTAGAGCCCTGGTGACTGCATGGCCACAGGAGAAGTGGGGTTGGTGATGTAGCCAGCATTGCTAGTTCCCCCATGGGGTGAGTCCAGTGAATCAACTGGGGACAGGGTCACTGAGCTCTCTAGTAAGGCACTCTGCATGTCCAAGGTCAGCTTCTTATTGCGAGCCTTTACCGACTCCTTCAGATTGGCGGCATGTTGGCCTCCCAGGCTAGAACCCTTGGCTCCAGGCCGACGATTCTTCTTGCCCTGTGGGGTGTTCTTCAGGCTCGGCAGGAAGGCACTAGGAGGGCACATGAGAGGAGACAGGGTGTGTCCCCCACCAAGGTGGTGTCCTCCATGGCTCTGGGGACTTCTTACTGTATTGTACTCATCAAGAAGCTGAACAATATCATGGTGCATGCGCTCCTGAGCAATGTCCCTTGGCAATCTGTCCATATGATCTGTGATCTCTCTGTTTGCAAAGTGAGCTAGAAGCACTTTCACTGCCTCACAGCTGCCCTCACGAGCTGCAAGGAACAGAGGGGTCTCCTCCTGAAAAGAAAAACAGAACAGAAGCTATGTTACACACAAATATGTTTCTATGAAAGATAATGCAAAATGTGGGTTACAGTGCAAGTAGAAGTTGTACCTTGAGATCTTGCATATCTTTGTTTGCACCATTCTTCAGCAGGGCGACAGTGGCATCCACATTATTAACCGCAGCAGCCCAGTGTAAAGCAGATTTACCTAATTGAGATGATAAACAATGAGATTAAAAATCAATGTTTTCAGTAAAGATCAACACACAGGAAATTCTGCATCGGGACATTGGCTTTCGGGAAAAATTCCTTGCACGTACCCAATTCATCGACAGCATTGACATCAGCATGACAAGTGATGAGTTCCTCTACCATGCCCTCTACTGCCAGCCGTGCAGCCAGGATCAGTGCACTAGAGCCATCGTACATGCGGGAGTCGAGATCCGTAGCCCGGTTTCGGATCAGAATCTATGGGGATGGGTTCAACATGATGACTTCTATAATACTGTACATGGGCTAAATTGAGTTTATGCATTTCTACCTCTGATGTGGGAATGAAGAGTTTATGTTTGTTTACCTGGAAGACGCCCTGTGCATCTGCAGCCACTGCAGCATGTAGTGGGGTACGTCCTGTGTTGTCCTGAGCATTTGCGTCTGCCCCAGCGTCCAGCAGTCTCTTTGCTGCATCAGCACGAGCGTAACGTGCAGCCAAGTGGAGGGCTGTTTCACCAGTCCGGTCTGTTTGGGCAGCAAGGGATGCACCCTGGTAGATTAGGTCAGAAATGATATTGGCTGAACACTCCTCACTCTCCTCCTCCTCGGTTATCTCAGGCTCCAAGCCGCCTCCGCAGAAGGATGCCAGCATCAGAGGTGTAAAACCATCTGGAAGGAGATACACAAAACAGACATGCTCAAGACAACAAATCATACAAAGGAAGTAGAAATAATTATTAATGCACAAATCACAGATCCAATCCAAAACTTTAAATAACTACCAACCTGGTCCTCTGACATTTACATCCATGCAGTCGCTTTCAAACTCTCCTTGAGGTGGGGTGAGGGCCATGGTGGGAGGCACACGAATGTCTGCAGCTGCAAGGTGATGCTGTGTCCACTGTCTGCTGTCCACTGCATCTTCACTGTCTGAGAGCATGCTTGGCTCCTCAACCTGAATTGCAAAAAGAGAAAACCCAGTTTAACTACTTAAACGTAGGATGACAAATTATTTTAAAATGTACAAGCGCATTCTCGTGTGTATGTAAATGTGTAGAAGTTATGGAACTGACCTTGAGCCTTTTTGGCTCTGGGCAGTCTGAGTCCATCCACTGGTCACTGTGATCTCCAAGGAGAGATTCCTCCACGGTTTTTGGCATATGTCTGTTTACATGTGAAAGTGTCATACAATGTTAGCCAAAGGAAACAAATTCAATTTCAAATACAAAGCCCTAAAACAATTCAAAATGTCAGTGGTGTCAACATTTAAAGAGCAATAACTTACTTCATTCCTAGAGCATCCTGGCCAACAGGTTCCCTGCGGTTCTTGTTGCTGCTTGGTTCCTTTTTGAGGAAGAAGCCCTCGGGGAACCAAAGGGTGCTGTGTTCCCTCTTTCTACGAGCAATCAACATACCTATCACAAGGATGACTAAAAGGAAAAGAGAAGCTATTCCCACCAGCATCAGCTTGGCCCATTGAGGTACGGTTTCACGATGAAATGGTGTTTCACCTGGAGTGAAAAGAGAAGAAGTGATCAGATAATTGTGTCCCATTAGTCTTACATTTTTCTTGTGTTCAGCAAGTATCCCAACTCACCACGGGCTTCTTTGAGGGGATAAGGGAAGCGGAGCATTTCTACAGCGGAGAGGGCTCCCAGGTACTTTGCAGCACTTTCGGCTGTAGTGAAACATTCCCCAGAATCCGGAGCGCATAGACGGTTGTCCATTTCCAAGTACACTTTGGAACTACAGGAATAGCAGAGAGGCGGATGTTTAGTGTTATGTAAAATATGGTGGAAAGACTTTTGTTTTATGTTTAGTGACAGACTTACCCGATGACCTCATGATGAGGCTGTAACTCCCTCTTGAGCCGCGCGTCTTGGCGGGTATAGGGGCGGATCATCGCTTCTCCATTGTGGTCGAGTTGGAAACGCAGCGTAGTGTGTAGGATAGCGCTTAATTTCTGCAGAAAAGCTCTGCTGGTGCGGAGGAGCTCTTCTGGAGGCAGCAGGACAACCAAAACTAAGACATCATCAGCGAGGTCTTCTGGAACATTCGCTGCACAATCCAGGCCATCCCAGCCACATTCCTCTGAGTTGCAGCCCTGGTCACACTGTCCATCAGCATAGTGGTCGATGCAGTAGGTTTCATATATTGGACTGGAAAAAACACAAATGCAAGGATCATCAATTATTTTTCATAACAGTGCAGAATAGAAACATAGGTAGTAATGTTACCACTTGTTACTTACTTGCAGGCTTTCTCCTTTGTTTTGCAGTCAAAGTTGTCATACAGACAGTCTGCGTTTTTGCAGGATTCATCACACTGGCTGTTATTGAAGACAAGCCAGCAGCGAGGGTCTGTACAACTATCCCAGGGCTGTGCTGCCAGTGAACAGTCGCCGCCATCCCAGTGACAAGGGAATGTGTTGCACTCCTTGTCACAAACACCATCATTGGCTTTGCCTTGACAGTCTGCACGAGGGCACAAGACTGCTGGGAGTTCAGGAGCTCTGCTAGTCTGCTCGCACCGTTTACCTGTCCAGCCGCCAGGACACTGGCAGTGAAAAAAGGGGAAGCTGGTCTCTTCAGTGCACAACCCTCCATTCCGACAGGGCTGGGAGGAGCATCCGTCCTTACTTCGATGCTGACACTGGGTCCCGCCGTAACCTGGAGGGCAGGAGCAACGTGCCCCCCTTGTGGTAAGTGCACAGCTACCTCCATTGTAGCAGGACAGCTCCCGACAGGACATGCTTCTTTCACAGTTGGGCCCAGTATAACCCTAGTAAGACAGACATCATTTATGCACTTGAATGCAATATTTCAAATCACAAACAAAAATGCTGTGATGCATGAAGTATAAAAGTTTATTAGGTGTTTAAATTTTAATGTGTATGTTAACTTACAAGCTGACACGTGCAGGTGTATCCCAGTGTAGAGCTGCTTGATAAAGAACAGGCTCCTCCATTCTGACAAGGATGAGACTCGCATGCACTGAACCTGCTTTGACACCTCCGACCTAAAAGCAACACATCGATGGTAAAGCTTCACAGTTTGTGTTTTACACAAAGAGAATGCATGTTCAGAGGCCAGGGGGAGCTGCTGGCAAATGTCTAACCTGTGAAGCCCGGCTTGCATATACACTGGTAGTCATTGGGCAGCTGGATGCAGTCAAGACTGTTGGAAGGAGCGCAGGGGTTAGAGAGACACTCGTTTATGTCTCCCTCACATCTTTCTCCGGTGAATCCTGGAGGACAATTGCAGCGGTATCCGCCCACTCGATCCACACAGGTGCCATTGTTCTGGCACTTAGGAGGAGCACTGCGCAGCCTCAGAGGTGGAGCACAGTCATCTTCATTGATCTCACAGAGAACCCCTTTAAGGGAGATATTATATATATTATGAATCAGTCACACATAGTTATGTCTTCACAGTAATTAAAACTGGGTTTCTGTTAAATGTGCTTGCTTACCCAGTGTGCCGGGGGGGCAGGAGCAGATGTAATGTCCCACCAGATCAATGCAAGTGCCTCCGTTCTGGCAAGGATGAGACTGGCACTCATTGATCTCTATCTCGCAGTTCTGCCCAGTATATCCTGGCATACACTGTAATGACATCCAGATGATAAATGCATATGTAGAACTGCGTGAATACTGAGTTAACTGAAATTGAAAAGATGCACATAACACTGGCAAAGCAATGGACTCACATCACACTGGTACCCTCCAACATATCCTCTGCAGGTGGCGCCATTGCGGCAGGGTTTGTCTTCACAGTGGTCCACTTGGCTTTCGCAATAGCTTCCAGTGTAATCAGCAGGACATTTACAATAGTGGGCATTCCCAGTGTTGACACAGTGACCACCATGGTGGCATAGCTCATCTGTCTGGAGCCCTGAAGAGAAAGATTTGGGGAAACAGTGAGCTTTACTCAATCACAACACTAACAGACCACAATATCAAATGTCATCATGCATTAAAAATTCACAATCAACATAAAAATACCTCTTTGGCGAGCAGCTGTCTCACAGGATACTCTAGAGATGTCACAGTAGCGTCCAGACCAGCCATTAGCACATTCACAGATGAACGAAGCATCCTTTTGGCGACAGCGTCCTCCATTTTGGCAGGGAGATGAGCGTCTGCACCAGTCGACTGGTGTCTGAGTAGACAAGGGGAAGATTGAAAAATGATCAGCTTTTATGGTTTTAAAAAATCCATAGGTAGACTAGAGGCCTTAACATGCCCTTTCAACCGTGTCAACAAGTGTGTGTGTACCTGGCAGCGGTTGCCAGTATAGCCCTTAGGGCAGGAGCAACGGAAGGACTCTAGAGCATCTTGACAGATGCCTCCGTTTAGGCACGGTTGGGAGTCACACTCATTGACCTCATATTGACAATGAGAGCCGGTGAAACCTGAGCGGCAGGTACAGGAATAGCCATTGATTTTATCTGTGCATGTCCCTCCATTGAAGCAAGAGCTGTGGAGTAAAAATATGATAATATTTTATTATAACATTCAAAAGATATGCAGGTGTATGCAAGCAAAAAATACATCATTATATATTTCCATTTCTCAAAAACACACTCACCTTTCAGTACAGTCAGGGATGTTGGTTTCGCAGTGAATGCCAGTAAAGCCAGGCCTGCAGGTGCAGGTGTAGGAGTTAACATAGTCCGTACATGCGCCTCCATTTTTACAGGGGGAACTATGGCATTCATTGATTTCCGAAGCACAACGGGGCCCAGTGAAGCCTGGCAGACAGCTGCAGTGGAAGGAGTTCATACCATCTGTGCAGGAACCTCCATTTAGGCATGGATCTGTTGGAAGGAAAGAAGGGGAAGACTGTGGTCAAGGACAGAAGATTTACATGGACCTGGTATTGTTATGATATGAACAGAAAATTACAGTTATGGGGTACATTTATATTGCATGGCCACTCACTAGGAGCACAGTCATTGATGTCCGTTTCACAGGTTAGCCCTGTATATCCAGCTCTGCAGGAGCACACAAAGCCTCCAACTGTGTTAGTGCAAGTCCCACGGTTCTTGCAGGGGTTTGAGATGCATTCGTTCACATCTAAATTACACAACTGGCCTGCAAATGCAAAAGACAAGGGCAATAAGGTTATGCTCAAGATTATTAATGGATGTATATGCTTCTCTAAGGTTCAACAAAGATGTCTTCACAATAGATGAACAGGCAGTGAAATTTTGTTAACTTCTGCTAAATTTGCTAACCTTGCCACCCCAACTGGCAGTTGCATTGATACCCCATGTAGTCTGGTGTGTGGGTGCACACAGCATGATTGGCACAGGGGTTAGGAGAACAAGGGGTGAGGACCTCAGCACAAGTGGGTCCACTGTAAGGAAGCTCACACAGACAGGTGAAACTTGCCACACCATCCACACAAGTGCCCTTGTTCAGACAGGGACTGGAAGAACATTCATTGATGTTCACCTGGCATAGGTTACCTGTTGGCGAGAGGAGACATTCAAACACTTGGCTTTTAAGATACTCAATTATAACTTTCTGTGTTGTAAATTTATTCCTGTCTTTGTGCTGAACATTGTGATGTGAACGGCTCCAGCAGAGTGTTATGCTTCTACGCCACCCTCTCACCTCTGAAGCCTTGACGACACTTGCAGGTGAAGCCATTCAGCTGGTCGATGCATGTGCCAGCATTCTGGCATGGACTTGGCAAACAGTCGTTCCTGTCCAGGTCACAGTTCTTTCCCACCCATCCCGGCTCACAGTCACAGCGGTAACTGGAAATACAGGAACAGTCAATAATCCCAAAAGAGAAATGAGGTTGTAGGTTCAGCAACGAGCTTGCTAGATCGTCATGCCCATGTTTCTACTTGATATCACACAGCTATGTGAGACTGTAGCAAAAGCTGTAACAGTTCATACCCATTGATGTCATCTCTGCAAGAGCCATGGACACATGGGCTGCTGCCACACTCGTCCACCTGGGAGTAACAGTAAGGGGGCTTAAAGCCCGCAGGACACTGGCAGTGAAATCCATTCTCCTCATCCACACATGTCCCCCCATTCCTACAGGGGCTAGATGCACACTCATCTATCTCCACATTACACTTGGGACCTGGCAGAAGAGATCAGACATAATCAAAATGTGTTTCTCACTATTTCCAACTAGGATTTATTTTCGATTTGTATTTGTGCATCCACTTTCAGAGTGTCTTACCAGTGAAGCCAGGTTTGCAAACACAGTCATAGTGGTTGATGCCATCTTTGCAGATGCCATAGTCACATGGGTTACTGGCGCAATCATCAAAGTTTATCTCGCAGTTTGTGCCTGTGTTGACAAAGAAAATGTGCAGAATAATTTTAAACATTTATCATTGGCAGAAAATTGCTTCAGTGGAGAAAATGTGAAATTACAACATAATGATATTTTCCTTCCAAATACTAGTATCACCCTCAACAGCATTGTGAGCATACAACAGACTTTGGCCTGGAGTTGTAGTAAATTGGCTTTAAAATAAAAAAGTTACCTGAGGTTCCATGTTGGCACTGGCAGATGTACTTGTTGACCAGGTCAACACACTTGCCTCCATTCTGACAAGGGTTGCTGTGGCACTCATTGAGCTGGTTCTCACAGCGATAGCCTGTATAGCCAGCATCGCAGTTACAGGTGTAGCTGGCAATGCCATCTACGCATGTACCATGGTGGCATGGGTCAGGCTGGCAGTTATTGATATTACTCTCACAGAGTGTTCCTTCATAACCTAAAAGAGGAAAAAAAGCATAAACAGATGTTAAGTAGGGATGGGAAAATGTATTGAAATTTCATATCATCACAAACTGAAGTACCAAAAAGTATTTATTGATTTTGCACAATATATCGTGTTGTCTTATTACCCGACAACTTTTTATGTTATGATGATAAGATAATTAAGTAACAATCCTATTCCATACTTTGTACTGCAGAGGGCGTAATTGCCTTTGGCGTTAAACAGTCTCATGGGTCCTACACTCCTTAAAGACGGCAGATAGAGGATAGAAAGTGCTCCACCTGAGTTTAAGTCAAGGGTGTGACAATTCTTCATTTTCCTTTAAAATGTGGGGGAAATTATGAAAATGGTGCTTCCGCCACAACACTGCTTTCTGGTCCATTCCCACAGAACAGTGAACAAGCTACAAATAGCCAAGCTATTGGCAACTTCATTGAAACCATCCTGCAGTTTCTATAGTCTTGAGCTATTATGAGGGGGTGCTGGGAGACAACGATTGGCTTCGTACTGCAAACCCGCCCCCTCTTTGAATGGCACATGGGTGCTAACATTGCAGGATTTCTTAAATTGCCTGATGTAGAATGGAAACTGGACAGACAATTTCTCAACACTGCTGTGGTGACAGGCAGTGCCAGAAATATGGATAATTGTCAGTTGCACAATAACTGACTATTCAAGTGTTCAGCCCAGTTATTGTGCTGATCTTACCCTGGATCAGTTTGTATATACATTATTAACTGGCATCTATATCTGAAAGTTTTGAGTTTCTGTTTTAATTTCAGGTTCTTTAATTTAATTTCCTTTAATTCTTTATTCAATTGTTTCCTTACTACTTCAATTATATATATATTTTTAATTAAAATTAAAAAAGAAATTCTATTAGTATGTGTCTCTTTTTTTAAACATGGCAATAAAAGACAAGGAGGATTATTCACAAGCAGTCATAGAGTATTGAAGTGTATTAAGGAAAAAGATTTTCCAAGAATTTTAAATGTTCCTCTTTAACTCCAGTTTTTTATTTTTTTAAACTTCCTCTGTCTGTTTCCTAAATTTCTCTCGGGATCAATATATTATCTATCTTCCAGTTTTAAGAAAACCTTCCACAGTTTTGGTGTCTGATCACTGAGGTTTCCATGTCGACGGTGTCTGTGTGCTAAGGGTTGGTTTGTGTGGCATGTGTGCAGCCCAGTGCTGAGTTGGGCAGAGCTGTAAAGAAGGGCCCTACACAGGCCTCCCAATTCTGCTTTTGTTCTCAATGGTGGAGGTAACAATGGACTGCACCACGTCAAACAGGGCCACTTCACTCAACACAAGGGGCCCACAAACACTGGGAATACCAAGCAGCTGGCCACTGAAACAATGAAGCAGGCTCCTCCGTAGGCACAGGTCCAAACAAACATGCTAAATATCAATATATATTAATATATAAATATAAAAATGCAGCTCAGACATGCGTACTATGTGAACAACTTTAGTACAGCTCATTTTATTTAGGTTTGTTTTCATACATGGACATGGATGGATGTGAAGGAATGAGTGTGAAGATGCAGCATAAGGTGGTGTGTGGGGGTTTAGATGAACAGATGTCGAGGTGATGACCAAGGCTTTTTTCTTAGCAACTGCTGGTCCTCAGTGACCCCATGATCCTGCGAGCCGATGAGGGAAAGTGGGGGATTAGGGGCCTCAAGTCAGTCTGCTTCGCCAGCAGACATCCAGAGACATAGCGGACCCCCCCCAAAAAACACTGAACACTTAACAAAGACCAAACAAGGCCCAACAAGTGTTTAAGGCGCATCTGCCCATCTGTCTGAGAAGACGCCTTGAGCTTTGTACTGTCTAACAAATCTCATCTGACAACTATGAAGTAAAGAAGCCCTTACCTTCAGCACAGCGGCACTCAAATCCATTGGGTCGGTCGTAGCATTTTGCTCCATTCTGGCAGGGTGTGCTGGCGCACTCATCTATGTCGATCTGACACATGGTGCCAGTAAACCCTGGGACATGCAAACACATAGGTGAAGGGTCAGAAAGACGGTCCAGAGGAAGAGGCCACACTCAGGTCAGAGGACAGTTCTATCTCTTCTTAGAAGGGCAGAGGTCTATTACAAGGTTAGTGGCGTCTGGCTAAGGTTGGGATTGAGCGTCTCGACTGGTTAAGGACATGTCATCTGTGCACTTGGACCAGCGCTGGGGTGACCACTACAAAATGCAATAGAAAAACTGCTATCTTGATGATGTGCATATAATATAGATTTGAAAATAAATGAATAACACCATTATCGTTGCGTGGAATGTCTGGACAGCCAAATGCAACTTATTCGGCTTCAGCTAAGATCAGGTTATGGTGATTTCAGAGTGTCTGCACAATTCCTACCCTACACTGGAGTGGCACAACACTGTGATATAAAATAACATGGAATGTGTAGAGAAACATTATTAGTTATTGTTATTATTATGTCAAATCTACTAGCTTGAAAAGCTTGAGAAACTAAACAGGCTTGAAATCAGTGGGCACGGTGCCCAGACATGGGTGAATTGGTGCATTGGTAGCACACCGCTCAGTTGATTAACAGTGTCAGGATGGTCTGTGTGTTGGTGCTTGGGGTGGTAAGGAGGGGGTTGGAGGAGACAGTGGGATTGTTTTCTCTTTTGGAGAACACCCCCTCCTTCCTGCATCAGCTCCACTGGCTCAATAGCGAGATGGGGGGTGGAGGGGGCACGTCTGTCCCAGATGTAAATTGCGGACCTGGAAAAGAATCTCATTAGCAGGACTGCTGTTCCCCCCCACCACCAGGGTAGGATGAGGGAGACTGCTGTCCCTTCCACATTCCACAGAAGAAGGGAGCGGGGGTCACAATAGTGTCTTTGTTCAGGCAAGAGGATAGGCAGCCTTTTGGGTCTGGCTTTTTTATAACAGTGCTTGCTCTAAACACCAGAAGGCAAAAGTAGCAAGGGTGACCCTCCCTCCTCTGGTTCTGGGGACATTTAAACTTTGGCTTTGTGTCCTTACAACTATTGCCACCACAGAGACGGAGTTGTTAAAAGGGATAGAAATAAATACACTGGAATAGAAAAACGAGTCAGAAAAGGGCTCACCTGGCTGGCAGGTGCAGGTGAAGCCGTTGACCATGTCCCGACATATGCCATCATTCACACATGGGTTGCTCTCACAGTCATCCACGTCAATCTCGCAGTAAGTCCCCATGTAGCCTGGAAGTCAGAAGTACCAACTGAGTCAACTTAGGCTCTTGCAGCTGAACATGGGACAGTTATGTACAATTCATCATTTCAGCCTGTATGGTGTGTATGCGACTGTGTGTACACTTTGGGATGTGGAAAAGATCCCTAGAGCATCCCTACAGTTCCCACTCATATGACCTAAAGTCACTACACCCTACTGTCCATAGGGCATAACCCCTCCCTGGGTCAGTGTCCCATTCACCAGATGCATGTTATACATTCTTTGTCAGCAAACTATGGAGGGCTCCTTCATTGAGGTTAAGCAGAGTGTGGATCACAGTGCTGCCCCTGGGGAGAGGCTAGCGTGGAATCAGAAATAATCAGCCGCTCCACATGAGCTTTGCCAGGCTGGTTGATGAAGAGGAGGGTGAAGAGGAAGGCCCTGTCTCTGGAAATGAAGGGGGAGGGGGAGAGGCTCTGGGAAAAGGCCTCTTTCCCTCTCTGTGTGTATGAGGGGTGCAAAGTGGAGCACAGAGGGGCCCTATTGTTCCCCTCCATTCCCACCACTCTGCTACTCATTAGTATTCACAGCACACTCCTCCCCCTAACTGCTCGCCCTCTCTCACATCCAGTCCTATAGACACTACTCCCAGCTCTAATTTGTATAGTTCCCAAAACCCCAGGATGCATGTAGGACTGTGCTTGAGAGTTTCACTGTGTTTTTGTTACTGAGTGTCCAAACCATCACTTAGTCTAAGCTAATACCCTGTCTGGCTGTACAGTGCATTGAGTGTAGAGAAGTGCCCCCATACCCCAAATGTTAATGAGAATGTATTACATAACAGTCTACACAGGCAGTCAGTATGGCAGCACTGCAGATAATGCTCCTTTAGAAGGTCAGGTTTAAATAATCAGTTGTTCCATTGGGTTCGGTCTGTCCCATTTGAATGACACCAGGGTGAATTAAGGCTTCCAAATTGTTTTGTTGGCACTGCTGAGGTCTGTTTACCTGGCATACAGATACAGGTGAACTCTCCGATCCGGTCCAGGCAAGTGGCGTCATTCTGACAGGGCATGGACAGGCATTCGTTGATGTCAATCTCACAACGGGGACCAGCATATCCCCGACCACACTGACACTGGAAGGAGCCCTCTGTGTTCACACATTTACCAAAATGCTCACACGGGTTGGCACCTGTGGGCAGAATGCTGAGGATTAGTAAATGACACACAATAATTAAACTGCTTCCTTATTTTATCTGTATGTATTTAATGCTTTTATTCCCAAATTAATTTCTCCCGTGGGAGACAATAAAGAAACTGTAACCTAAATACTCAAAAGAAAGCTGAAGCAAGAGTATATGACTCCGGCACTGACAAATGACTCACCAATCGAACACTCATCCATGTCCTGGTTGCAGGCACCACCTACAAAGCCAGCAGGACAGGTGCAAATGGCACGGCCGTTAAGCGGGTTTGTGTCACACACTGCTCCCTCATTGCAGGGGTTACTCACGCAGGCATCTTCAAGATGACACAGTAAACCTGTGGAGGAAGCACAGAGACAAAATCCATGTCAGTTATCCAACAACTTAGCAGCCAGGAATTAGAAGATCATTTTGACAAAGACACTTACCAGTCTTTCCAACTGGGCATTCGCAGAAGAAGGAAGCTACGCGGTCATGGCAGGTGGCACCGTTAAAGCAAACGGCTATGGCGCAGTCATCAATGTTCTCGCTGCAGTCATCTCCAGTCCAACCATTAACACAGACACATGTATGGCCACCGATGTTGTTGAAGCATGTGCCCCCGTTATGACAGGCGTTTGGTTGCATGAGACATTCGTTGACATCCTCAGCACAGTATTGCCCTGGATTTGTAACATGACAATGAGGACGCACGGACTTACCAACATACAAATATGTTCAAGGTAATTTGATAAAAAAAATCTGTACCTGTCCATTCTGGTGGGCACTGGCAATTGTAGGTATTGACTCCATCCACACATATCCCTCCATTCATACACTTGTGTTCTGGACAGTCATCCACATTATTCTCACAGTTGTGTCCTTCAAACCCTGAGACAGATGGAGATCGAGAGAGGAGTTATGAAAAGACACAGTAACAGAGAATTTAAGTTTATTAAACATCAGTGGCCCCTGCTCCAGAGTCCAAACATTTCTACTGGTAACCTTGAGTCATTTTTCCCACAGTATATGAAGTGAGGGGCAATGCGAGCAGTAAAAGGTTCAGGGGTGTCTGAATGTTTACATCTTTACATGACGGTTCCCATACGATGCCAGCAACAGCCGTGACTCCTGACTGCTTCAGAGGTCTACACTCCCCGCAGTGTTTGCTTGTTTTTATAATCTCTCACAGTTTCAATGACTTCCTCTCTGGCAAAAGACATTTCCTGCCAGCTCCCCAGTGGGAAACCAGGAGGCCCATAAAGTAAATTCCTTCTGTTGTGAACAGAGTAAAGTAGAGTAGGAGTGCAGGCGGGCTGCCTCTTCAACTCTCCCACCATCCCATCTCCCATCAGCAGCTATTAATAGCAGACAGGAAGCTGACCTGGGACATAAGCGTAAAGCACTAACAGCTACGTCATCAGGCTGAGAAAATCTGTATGCCTTAAGCCCCATGCTGAGGGCCTGGGAAAAGAGTGGGTCTGCTGACTTACTTTTAGTAGTGTGTATGTGCATGTTTTATTATGCTGCAGAGAGCTGTTCTACCTGGTAGGCAAGCACACTCATAAGAATGGTCACTGGTCTGTCGACAGGTGCCCCCATTAAGGCATTGAGATGGGGCACAGGGCAGGGTGGACACCTCACACGTGCGCCCGCTGTATCCAGGTTGGCACTGACAGCGGAAGGACCCTTGGGTATTAATGCAGAGACCCCCGTTGAGGCACACGCCAGGCTTGCGACACTCATCAATGTCATTGCGGCAGTTCTTTCCCTGGAAGCCAGGTGGGCAGGAACAGTTGTAGTGGTTATTCCAGTTGGCACAACGGGCCCCGTTGGCACAGGGGCTAGTGGCACAGGCATCAATGTTCCCACAGTCTTGGCCTGGAGAGTAAATAGTGAATTGTGTTGAGTCAATGAAGGTACTTTTAATTTCTATTATCAGATATGATCTTCATAATGGAAACAAATACTGTACCTCTGAACCCTCTCTGGCACACACAGGAGTATTTCGGGAGACCATTAACCACCTGGCTCTTGCAAGCGGCTCCATTCAGACATGGTGATCGATGGCAGGGATCCAGGTGCTGACAGAGGGGACCAATGAAGCCTGGACGACATCTGAACAAACACATTTACACACATAAATATAAGGAAACAGGTCAAAAGCTGACACACTGAGCTATTAAAGAAAGCTGTGACACTCCAACTTTAGTGGAGCCACAATCTTCTAGGTTTGGCAATGACACACTGGCAAGGCCTTTGACCTGACTCATGCCTTGGCATGAACAATGCTTCTGGGCCCTGGGATGAATTAGTATTAAAACAGCAACAAGTAATAACCATGCATGGAATAAGATACACGTACAGTATACTCACAAACAAACTTCAAAATATGAAGATGGAGGGAGGCCATCTTTCTGTGTCTTAAAAAGCAAACACTTTCCAGCTGGAAAGCTTCAGTTTTCTCCACGGCGGCTAACATTCCTCCACTATTACGTTTTTTTCCGCACCTCAGCTTTTGTTTCTGTTCTTGTAAGAACACACCCAGAAACAGCAGTCTGGAAACTTAACAATTACCAACAAATGTGGACATGAGAAAATGGGGACTCCTCACAGCACATGCATAAAGTGAATAGGAGAACAAGCTACAGTTTTGAATGAAACAACACATCCTGCTGCCAGTGACTGTATTCTGATAGAACATCAGATTATCTGCATTATCTTGTCAGTTTTCACACATGGTGGTTTCTTCACGATGCTACTGTTTAAGTCTTATTATGTACTTTAAACTATGCAGGTGTGAAACGACTTGATTAGTATGAGGTACAGTGATATGTTTTAGCCTCTTGAATGCTTTCAAAACCCAGGTGACTTAAAATCAATACTGTGCCTGAACCTATTCTGTGTAGACACAGGTTGAGCACCGAAGCTGCTGCAGCTTCTGCTCCATGGGCTATGAAGACATTGTGGGGCTAAACAGGGCTTCCTAAAGCTCTCTTCAGGGGAGTTTAGGTAAGGTTTGGACTCAGGAGGTCACTATGAGCTGGTAATTCTAGACCCACAGTGGAGCCCCTGGCTGCGGACAAACCCCTTCTTCAAACAGTCTGTTTGATGCTGATGACAGAGCAGTGACGGCTGGGTTTCAGCCCACCCTTGGGCTCTGTCCTCTCTTTCTTTGGAGAGGAACCCCTGGGCAGGATCAACAATGGGTTTTCATCTTTTCTCCTTTACAGGAGCTTTTCCACTACTCTGGTATCAGTTCATCTTTACATTTTTGATTATCCCTCCCTTTAAAAAAAGTTAAAACAAAGCTAAAATTGTTTTCTGGCAGTCGCCCCAGGCTAAGGCGCTGAAACGGCTTCAGGTCGGCTAAAGAGGATGAACAGATCTGGATCTGTCTTTTCATTGAAATAGCCTGTTTTCTTTTTGACTAGTCTGCTCTGCCTCAGGAAAAATGGAGACTATTCAGTTTTGTTTGGCTTTTTTTCCAGCTTTACAAAGTCAATAATGAAATAGAGGAGCCACAATGCTAAGCATGAAGGAGCCAGACACATGCATATCCACAAGAATGTGCATATACACAGAAACGGTGCAAAAAAAGTCTGATGTCTCCAAAGTAGTAATTTATTGGTATATAATAATTAATTAAACATAACAGCTATAAATGCCATAGGGAAAGATGAATTTCCCATGACTGCAGTACAGCACTTCAGTGTTGAAACTGGTTTTGGAGCTAAAGCTAAAGTTAAGCAACACTAGAGCTGGCATGTTGGGGGAGAGTTACTACAGCTACTCTTCTAAAGCCCCCCTGAACGCCAGCTTGCCTTTCCCCCTAACAACCCCCTCCTCTCACGCGCTGAGAGGTCAGATGTCAGAGGTCCCCCGTCTGATTGTGATGATAATGTCACGGCTGCAGGGAGAGTGGGGTGGGGCTGCTCTGCTGGAGGGAATGTCTTTAGAAGGTGGAATTGGTGGAAAGGGCGACAGAGAGGAGGAGAGAGTGGTCTAGTCCAGCAAGAATGTCATGTCATATTTCCTGTAATCCCTCGTCCCATGCTCTAAAAACACTGCACTGGCTCCTAATGCACGATCCCTGTTGCCCTAGCAACCTCGCAGACGAACAAGTAGGCCTGACACACAACCAATCACCCCTTCCCCTCACCACCCACCCATGGTCCCCATGGATATTTGTCATGGCTTGGCTGGGTTTATTTAGAGGCAAATTAACTGTCTGGAATCTAGGGTATTACTAAAAATGAAACACAAATATGCATGAAGAAGGCTTTCAAAAGGAGTTGCTTTTATAGAAAATACAACATAGACTGACAGTCAAAATCTTCTGAAGATGATCTGAACTGTGGACTTTTGCTGATAAAAGCCCTAGAGCTACAGGGTTTTCTAAACAGTCTATGGTTTTCATCAGTCAGGCTGCTGTGACTATGTGGACAGAAAAAAACTTACCACTCAGTCCAAGCAGTACTGTGTTTCCAAGTGCATGTTGATGTGGCACTATAGAAACTGAAATATTAGGTATTTGGAATAAAAGTTTGCTCTGCCATGAGAATTAATAGTGTTGGTAAATATTTGTGTACATTAGATTATGTGTGTGGGTGGGTAACAATGACAATAGTAGTTATGTCTGATAAATTATTTGTCCACCCTTAAAAATTCACAGTGAACTTAGAAGCCAAAACACACATTCTTTTGTCTAGACCTGACTAACTGCCAGCATGCTACTCCCATAACACACAAATCACAGTGCTATCAGTGCAGAGACTGTGAGAGACGCGAAACTAGGTCCTGGTGAACATGAGAGCCTCCTTATCAGGCTCTTTACAACCTTGTGGATTCTGCTCCCTCTGAGAACAACAGGGCAGGACCTGTGCCTTCGCCTGGGCCCAGCCTTAGTTGTGGCGGATGTACAAAGCAGGTGCAGGCTGCTGTTGTGCAATGGGCCCCTGAGTCATATTTAGTGAGTGTTGACTTCTGACCTTTGAGGAAGAGAGTGCAGCAGATGAGGGGGAGGTCTTTGGGTGCAGCGGAGGGATGGCGAGAGTGGGTAATCTCTCCGCGTCAACACATATGAGGGGTTTGGCCAGCTGCTGCCATGCATCTGTCCACATCTGTCATTCCACCTCTGGGTGTCTGGCATTTACCTCTCCTGCCAGACGTTTAAGCCAAAAAAAACTGTGCTGTGTTGCCCATGGGACTAGTCCAGCAACCAACACACCCACGTTCTCACACAAGAAACATTTCACACCACTCAAGAGATGTGGTCATCTGCCACAAACACATGCATTAACAGTTCCTCTTAACACACTTTAAAAGACTGTTATGCAAGGGAACCACTGCAACAAAGCAAACACATGCATCAATCACTGCACACCCAGACACAAAGAAAAGAGACTTACAACCAGCCTCAGCGTCTGAGGAAGAGTAGGACTGTGAACCCATAAAAGAGATACATTGAGGAAATGATATAATGCTGTCAAACATTTAATGAAGCAGAGTTTAAAGAGCAAATGATATTATAAAACATTATCGTCATGTGACATCTCAGCAGTGTGCTGGGATTTGTCAGTGCTGCATCAAGTATGAGGATCCCCCTGACTAAAACCCATTTGATTTATGTATAAGTGAGGTCTGTCACCTGTACGTGTGTAACACAATGCCAGTTTTCCTGCTTTCTGGGTCATTGAAGCAGGGTAACCTGAGCTCATCCTCTCCTATACAATAGCCACTACTCTGCCAGAGGTCAGAGGGTGACTCACCTGCGAACAAAGAGGCTGTAATCTCTGACATGGTTCAAACACACTGTCATGCTCCACAAAGCAACAAGTATAAAGGAGTCTTCCTATCTCACAGGGCATTTCCTAAGACAAACAGAGGGGAGGAGCTAAAACACAACTCCCATCTTTTTAATTTCCACTTCTGTTTTGCATGAGAACTTCTAGCAAATTATGTCAAGCCTGATGCTGCTAGAAAAAGAAATATTGGGATCTTGGAAATCCTTTCAAATGCGTCTCTTTCTCTCAACACAACACTCTTTTCCCCAACACCCCCCTGTCCTTCCAAAAGCGAGCAAGAATCAGTTCTACTGCTTTATTTGAGTCCGTACTGACACCACACTGCCAACAGAAGCCCAGCCAACCCCCCCTCCTTCCAACAGCCTCCTCTGCTCTGCTCTCCTCAGCTTGGCTCTCCCTTTCTCAGCAAAGAGCCAGATTGGGGGTTGGGGAGTGTTTTGTGGCCCAAATAAAAGAGCTAAAGTAGTCAGAACTCCTTTGTATAAAAGTGTTTGGGGGGGGGGGGGCAGTGACCCAAACAGCTAGTCTTTCAGGCCCGAGCTTACACGGACCAACAGGCCTGGGCTGTAGCCTGGCAACAGTAACCCATGGTGAGAGAGAACCAGAGTTAGAGAAAAGGGGAGATGAGGGACAGGGTTTCGTAAGGACAGTTGGAGCACATCGGAGGACTGATCCCCTACATACACAGGTAGCACTGAGCACTGTCCGCAGCCAATTCAGTCCGGTAATTAAGTACAATCACGTCTAAAAGGGATGTGTGTTGCACAGTTTAAAGTGCAAAGTTTGTTTCAACAATTGTGCTAAGACACACAATGGAGGTATTGAAATCTCCAGAGGGAGGTTTCCAGAGCACCCCCTGAGCATGAATATTAAACATGTGAATACAAGGACATTTAACTTTCTCTGGATGAAAAGCAGTAACGAATCTGGCCAAAAGGCAAGGAAGGCTGTCAGTGCATCCTTCTCACCTCTGATAGCCCCTCAATGCTCAGATCTACATGTGTAAGGGTATAAACGAAAAATAGAAATGTGGAGCATTTCCTTGGCAGTGGGAACTGCAGAGCTCTGCCGCAGGAAGACAATTAAACTTGTTGCTAAGTGCTCAGTTATTCTGCTGTAAAAAAGCTGAACAACAGCATGTCATTTTTACGTTTGTAGTTTATATGCTATCCGGACAAATTCGCCTCTAGTGTCTAACACATTTTTGGAAGAATCCTCCCTGACATTTTTCATATGCATTTGCCCATAACCACATTGCATGAGTCCCAGAGTCAGGGTCTTTCAAAGCTTTCATTCTCCTCTGAACTCCAC